ATAAGTTTGTTCATGATGGCTCACGTCAGTGATAGTGATGATGACATCGTTGCGAAATTATTAACCGAGTCATTTTCAAGATTGAGTTACAATAATAAATTGGAGTAGCAAAGGATCAGCTGCATGACTCCGCCATCAAGTGCTTCATCCAAAAGGACAGGAGGATGGACTTTGTGTTTAAGTGATTTGATCATCAAAGTTAGGCCTAAGTCATTTTCAATGTGGGCCGCCGTGCCGACTTAATTCATTTTTAATTGTTACTTGGCTGTGGGTGCCTTGTCATGATCGTGTTTATATAAATGGTGTTGTTTTGTGTGGTAGAGGGTTGCTGTCATTGATGCGTTTTACACCCCGGGCCGTTGTTTTGATATTTCGCTGAAGTATACGCTGTGACGTAATGTGACTCTTCTTTTCTTTTGAGGGAAGGTGGGGTCAGAGGGCCTAGGTACAAAAGTCACGGCTCGCCACTTAAGTCTATATTTTGTAATATTTTGGATAATGGTCACCATTAAGAGTGTGCCTAATTAGCTATAACCAGTCGCTTTTTGGAATCCATGGATGTCTAGACAACTATCACTGGATTAATTTGGCAAGTTCTGGAGTTAAAGAGAGGTTTTCTTCTGAGACTTCTAAGCAGATGTATGGATATTTATTCACAATGGATAAGGATAATGATGTCTCCAGGAATTGTAAGTCACACTGAATCTACAAACGTGTGTATTATGCCTGCGGTTTAGAGTAATGAATCAGAAAAGGAGTATTATTTGTTTACTCAAATTGCACACAGCATCTTCCACTGACATTTCTCACTCCACTCTTCCACCAACAGAAGGGGGAAATGAAAAAAAGAGCAATTGAGCAAGTACTTTTCTATATTGTTTTCCTCCAAATCTCCTTGGTGCCATTATACAACAAATCAGGTTTGACAATTAGAATCGAGCACAAATTCTTTGTGACAACATTCAAGCAAAATCTCATTCTTCCCCCTTCTGGCAAGGAACTACACATTTGGACTAGCATCTACACACAGTTTATAGTCAATCAGTAAATGGAAGGTATGGCAATGTTCTTGCTGACTTAATGCCGTAAAAGCAGAGGAAGCAATGGGAAAGTGCACACATATACAGAAAGAATGATAGATTCTAAAAACTTTAAGGAAACAGAAAATAATCTAAGTTTCTTGTGCTCTGGCAGTTCAATATATCCTTTATATAGAGCGACAAAGTGTTTTTCATGGCTCTCTGCATAACACACCCGCCTCCCGGAGCATCAGCCATCGTTTTCTATAATTGGCCATTTCCCAAGTCCATCTTCACCACACGACGATGCAACTGTAGCTGTATGTAAAACGGCTCATTCTGCTATAAAACTACACCCGCCTGTCAAAGACTGGAAAATGTGTGATAGTACATTACTAACATTATCACCCTACAAAGAGAGAGGGAAAAGCCATAAACCTTTCAACTGACAGTTTCTTTTAACTTCTCAATGTCCTCCCTGCCTTCAGGAGGAATTGTACTATTATTAAGACATGGCAGATGCTTCCTCAATAAAGAAAATCAAATGTATTTTACATAGACAATTTTAGTGTAGACGGGATCCAGGAAAACAGGTTCAAAGTGCGACTTGCTCAAGACCTCTGAAGACTGGAACTGCAGCACCATCTTATCTTTAAACCATACACACATCTGTCCTGCAATCAGTATCCTTGCTTACCTTTACACATTGAGTAACACGAGTAGCATGAACTGAATAGTTTACAGCAAAAAAAACTCAAACTTGTTTCCTTCTCATTTCAGATTCATGTCGGTGTGACATTTGACAACTTCTCCAAATTGCCTCGGCTCCCATCTGTAGGAGCTGAGACGCAGATGGGTCGAGAGGTGCATGAATAGTGCTGCTGAGAATTGCTGTGTGTGTGTGTGTGTGTGTGTGTGTGTGTGTGTGTGTGTGTGTGTGTGTGTGTGTGTGTGTGTGTGTGTGTGTGTGTGTGTGTGTAGCCGTGACCCATCAGGCCTCATGGGAAGCTGCAGCTAAACTGATGGATGCCAAGGAGCAATAGCGGGAGGGAGGAGGGAGAGAGGGAGTGCTGGCATAGCCAAGTAGGAGACAAGCGCCTGTACTGCAGCAATGCAGAGGGATGTCAAAGAAAAGATAAAAGACAATAAACATGTAAATAAAGAAGAAGTATGCAGTAAGGGTATGACAGACGGCAGAGCAAGCACTGTTCAGAGACCGATTTGCAGAGCTAACAAGTTTAAATAACCAGACTTGTATTCTGGTTGAGTTTCTGCACTGTGTCACGGTTTTGCCGATACCCTCCTTCTACTGCGGTTATGAATATATCCTCCTCAGCCCTACCTAGCAGAGACAACAAGCCCTGGCAATGCAAACACACCCTGCTGAGCCTCCCGTGTCTCCTCCACCCCTCGCCCTCTGAACAAACAGCTCTCCCTCTGGAGGCAGTGAGACTGGGAGGGGGACACTCGGGACTATCGACTGGATTCCTCTCAGCGCTGTTGTTTCACCCCGTTGTGAACACGGCCTTGCTAGGATAACCCAGGGCTGATGTTGTGACTTTCCAGCAGGGAAAGCAATGTATACATTTCCTGTTCTCACTCAGCGACCTTCCCCCATTGCCTTTCCGAGCGGGCTACTGCAGCAAAATGTAAACAGAGTCCAAGGGGAAGCCGCTGCTTATTTTTGCTCGTATTACTACCCCCCCAACCCTGTGCAAACCAAGGCCTGCCTTCTCCATTTCCTACACTAACACAAACAAAGCAACACTGAACAAACACTCCCTCCCATGCATGTTACGACACAACTACACACACCGACAGAAAGAAAAAAAGAGATGCTCTAATGCACTGCTACACATAGACAAATGATTTCAAGCACTCAAGAAACAAATATCCTGTTCTCATCATAAAACTTTCATCTCGTGCAAGCTTGTTGGTGGGCCAAGCGCATTTCCCGGTGAAAAATATGCACACTTAACCTTGAGCTGATCTTTTTAACATAATGCGTCTGCCTTATTGGATTCTATCTGGACCTTACTCACAGGAATACCAAGTGCACAGAGTGATAGTGTGACCAAGCCAAGTCGGGGAAAAGAGGAAGGGCGAAGTGGCAGCGCCGAGACGCCTTCTGCCAGATCTTATGATGAGTTTTCGTGTCATTTTGAAAGGTCACTGACATGTCACCTTGCGCAGAGAATAGTGCGAAAGTGTAATCCCGAGTGATACCGTGTAGAAACCAAGACGATTCTCAAGTACTGTACACATAATCACATGGAGACTCTGACACGCATGAGAACACTCAGGTCTTTAGCAGGTCTCAGTCATGAAATCACAAATGTTTAAAAAGTTTTTATAAATGCTTAAACGACGTTCATGTTGTTTAAAAACAGAGTTTAAGGTTTCATTATTTAGCTTGGAAAAAGCAGTCAAAAGACATTTTACATTTAGGATATATTTGAAACTTTAATGACAGGTCCTTCAAGTTCTCGTTTTATTATCTATTTTACATCTATAAATAATTCACAACAGACATTTGAACATACTTTGGTATCCAAAGTCATTATCCATTTAGCACATCCTCTCTAGAGTATGACACATGTGCATTTCACCGCACAATTTAGAAAACCTCAGTAATTTCAGAGATGTCAGTACTTTTCAATTTGTTGCTGAACACAACACTGCAAACAAAAGACAATAATACAAATCAAACTCTTGCCGGATTACCCCACCATGCGATCTGAAAACAGATGGCGGTAGTCAATCAAATTTATAACTGTGGAAGAAATTCATTTGGCATTGATGTCACGCCACTGGGCTCAGAAAGAGACATGCACACAATGGCATAGACTCATCCATTATTTAGTCGGAAAAACAAATTTAAATTTGAAAGCCCCATGGGTCCCAGCCAGTGGCAGGTGCATCTATGTGACTGTTAACTATATTAGAAGTTATGGGACTGTAATTTGACTGCCAATGTAAAAAAAAGAAAAACTCCCCCCGCTGTTGCACTAATCATCTTTGTCAATATTAATACCATTACATTTCTGGCTCACACACGCAGCAGTGACCTGGTTCAAATGACCAGGTGGTTAGCTCTAACACCAAAGCCACACGTCACCCAAACAGCTTGGCTTCCATTGATGCATGACACATTGCATTTGCAAAAACTTGCTGGTGTTTATAATCCAAATACATACTTGTCACGCCGATGATTTGGTGTCCGTATTGGGTTATTCATATGGCAGCACACGCGGCTTCATGTCAACACTGAATCAAAGTAACAACACCCCGGTGAGGCTGCTTTGAACAGTGGGGTTTTTGAATACATTTGAATGCTCTATTACAGGCTGCCGTCTAGTGGCCTCACCAACCTTTATAATATTCTCGCATAAATAGGATTAACATGCTAATTACAGGTAAACTGAAAATAATAGAATCAACAGATAAGTCCTCGTCAAAACAGGGAAGGATTGATTGTAACGGATTATTTGCATTTTGATATCAATCCAATTTTACATCTACACAGAGGCAGCCAAGAGAAAGTATGTTCTGCTGAATTTTGTTTTTAGCGCAGTTTCAGCCTCTTTCATTTATGAAGGTCACAAGGGGAACTATAAAACTTACTATAAAATTGTCCATTACAGAAATGTATAAGGCTGAGTGACGCAGGTTATACTAATTGCAAAATAAAATTGGCCAAAATAGATCAGATATCATCATGATTAAACATTCTGACTGACCTATCCGTCGTACTTTAAAAACTGCAATAAAGTGAGCTTTTAATAGTACTAAGAGTGCTGATGCTAGCTGCTGTTAATATATAGAGAAGCTCTGGATCAATGTCCTGTCAGACACATACACACCAAAAGCTCTCATAAATGTGGGTCTGTGCGAGAGGCCTTATGACACACAATTCAATAACGTCTAAAATGACATGTTATTTTCAATAATACATACATACATGCATGCAGAGACACTTACCCGTGGAGACAGGGCAGTGGGGGGCTGGGTGAAGATTGTAGAGTGGGCTGCAGACCGTAGGCCATGTGCTCTCCTCACAGTCTGACGGGTGAAAGGAGCCGACAGTACCTCCTGCTGAAGTGAAATGGACACAAAAAACAAGTTATGGAGCATCATCTCGAGCGCAAAGTGAAAACAAAGTGTTTGGGACAATCTCAATAAAAATGGGAAACAGCAAACCTCACGCTATTTTCCCAACCGCCACTATCAGGCTCTACAGTAAGTCACAATGAGCTAAAATAGAGGCTTAAAAGAATGAGGCGTGAAAGTGGTGCTTTTATTTTCTATTACTGGAACAGGACAGGGACATTTCCTTGTAGCTGCCATTCAAAAACACTATGTGGTCCGAGCCATGCATACAGAATGTAGAGTTTTCATGTGAAACGTTTGCGTACACTGGGGAGGGGTCTCTGTCGCTGCAACTGTCAATCAGAGATGGAAGAGCGGACTGCAGCTTATTTACTTCTAAACCACAATAAGCATTGCATTTTTTCAATTTAACGTTATCATACTAGAGGAAAAGCACAAAACAGGGTTGTTTTGGTGTCTTTGGCTTTGAGCATTTGTAAGATAGAGATTTGTGTAGGCAGGTGTATGACAGAGGGTCACGGTAGACTGGATTGACTAAAATACTTTCACTTTAAAGTTAGTGTACGTGCTCAGATGTTGCCTGCCTCCCAGCCCTGAAGAAAAATAAGATGGAGATGAAGTCTCCATTAAAACACCTTGACTGAGCATGCTGAAAACCAACTAGTGTACCCCATGAACCACTCATATGAGACCCATGTCTATGCAGCCTCTGTGGGGCTCTGATCGCACCCACTTTTATGATACAAGTCACTCAAGCGCTCAACAAACCTGCTTTAAGCACAGAAAGCAACAACACCCTGAAAGGTCAGACATGATTATTTTTTTAAATCCATCCACCATCACCACCAGCACATCTAAGAGGCAACGCTGTTAAAAATAAAACAGTTAGGACCTGATTCACTCCCATCCCAAATGTCACGTTCATGACTGAGTTTGAAAGTGTGTGGAAGACCGCAGGTGCAAACCACAGGAACATGCAAATATTAGATTTTTCTCATCTGCATGCTTTCAGATGTTCTGAAGATGTTTGAGCAAAAAACACTCACATAATTAAGGAGTCTGTCTTAACTTGTTTTTCTCGAAAACCGGCATAACATCTTGGGGTTGGTTGGTGGTGGTTTAATGTGTTCTAAAACTTCTAACTTCTAACTTAGTTAGAAAGGCAATCCCAAAAGGTCACATTATTTAAAGTAGAGTAAAGTAAATTGCTTCATAAATCGTGTTTTAAAGACAAGCTAGACTTCTAAAAACACATGTATCTACATTGCAGCATAACAGTGGTATAATCTGCCAACATATTTAATACCTAGTTTAGAAACATGTAACAAATTCATTTTAAATGTTTAACTTTTTATGATCAAGATAATAAGAGCAAGTGCAAAAGAGCTACCCTGCCACCTGTTGTTGCTTTTTAACCCAATATGTTGATGGTTTTGTCTGCACTTTATGTCGTGGTGTGTTAGGTGTGTTACTCCAGGCTGAACTGTATCCCAGCATGCAGTGGTGAAAGAAGCTCCGTTCACCCAGGACTGGCCGCTGGTCTATCACAGGACTAACACTCACACCCAAAACTCAAATTGACACTTTTATTCACAACTACAAGCGATATCGAGTAAACAAATCTGCATGTGCTGTGATTCTGGAAGGAAACCCACACACAGACAGAGGAAGAACATTCACACAGAGATGCACCATTAGGCAGCTGTGACATGCAGGGCTAACCGCTAAGCCCCCATGCTGCCAGTAAATGTAGGCTATACATTAATTAACCATTAGTAATCAGTTACATAACTTATAAAAAGCAGGCTGGAAGATATAGTAATCTGTCTAATGGCATATCTGCTGTGTCCTTTCTGTATCAGAGCTCGAATCTACAAATGGATGTCTCTCTACGTGTTATTACACACACAATTACGTCTCTTTTAACGACTCTCAGCGTTGGTAAATTACATTTTTACAAGGAAGGACAGAGCTCGTAGTGTGGCCATTTGAGTTTTTGCCAGTGGAAACACTAACAGTAATGAATCTATCTTTACACAAGGAACACTTTGGGAAATGGTGTCTGTAGTTTCTCTCAGAATATATTCTACGGAAAGTGAGATTCTCAGCATGCAGGGTTGTAAAGGCTCAGAACAAGTCAAGCTTGAACATTAGCTACCCTTGGGGAGCTGCTATGATAACCAGCTGACATTTTTGCCTCCAGCTCTGCAAATAGGCAGAAATAATACTTGGAAAGATTGTTAAGTCAGTTATTAAAACACACTTTCCATTGTTTATGTTTGACATGGACCTTTCAACACAAACTGGAGCTTTTTAACACAGTGTATTCACCATTAAGATAGGCAGTGGACCTTGGTGCTAAGATAGCATGTTGCTGCAGGATTACTGCCTCCTCCTTATAGTTACAAAGGCAGGCCTACAGCATTAACTCATAGGAGTCCAGCAACTATAAAAAGTGTCCAACAACCGCCAAGACAGTATCCTCCGGTCAGTTACTGTGGAGGAAGAACAGCATTTGTGGATTAGTTGACTCTGTGATGTGGGATATTTACTGATGCGAGGTCTCGGCCAAGCAACCAACCCGACTCATTTTTCATGCTGGCAGTGAATTCATGCTGGCAGTGAATTCACGCTGCGGCAACAGAATAATATGTATGGGTCAATAAGATTCTGGTTCAAAAAGTACTACAGGTTTTACTTGTTGTGCAATAACAGTGGGTCTATGGTGTACAAAAAATAAACACCAAAACATTAAGATGACTTCATGATGTCAACTAATTCATACATAAATCCTGTTTTTCAAGGATGACATAGTAATTTTAAATCAGTATTGATATAGAACCCAGAAATATAGTTATTGAGACAATGCTTAACCAATATAAAAAGTATTTGTAACAGTATAAAAGGCAATTACAATTTATCTTCTTTGACTGTGTTTATGTATGCATTCCTCGTATGTGTTAAGTGTTTCTGATTCGGATTCAAAGAAGAATCAAAGTTAAAAAGGACACTTTAATGAAAAATTGATCGCTACCGGCACTAACATAATTCAGGAAGTGCCAAATAAACGATCGTATGTTCAGTTTATTTATGCGTTGTTTCTGAAAGGAGTCGCTGTGACCTGTCTGCCCCACCAGGCCCGTGTCCCAGTGAGGGGAGGCTCCGACTATTTCTGTTGATTAGATTGCCACAGAGGACAACAGCTGCTCTCTCTAGATACCAAACACTGTAGTAGTATTATACACGATGTATACGCTCAACATAACAACCAAGTCTCCTGATACACAAGGCACCAGCTGGTTAAGTCCCTACTGACAATGCCTTTTCTTTGTGGATCAAACACAATAAGCTATAAGCAGGTAAAGAGACAGACTTATTTTCTGCTTGCAAAGCGAATGTAACAGACACGAAAACATCCCATACTGTTATCCAGTCAGCAGAATAGTACATTTTCAAGCATTCGCCTAGGGTGAGACTGAATGCAGTTTCTAAAAGCTTGCAAGGCAATAAACTAGGGATAATAATTATCCCTATATATATATATTCCTATTAACAATTTACCGTATGCTGATTTTTAAGTGGAAATTATTATTTCTTTCAAGCAAGAACTGTTGTTGTTTTTGGAGTAACTTTCTATCGTTATGCATTAGCTTTTTGTTATTATCATGAGGACATTTTCAGTGGTAAACATTTTTTTTTTCCACAAAACAACTTCATAGAAGTGGCATTTTTTTCCATTTCAAATGAAATAACATACATCAGCCACATCCTTTGTGACACACTCAGAACGTGCTCCACTCTCCTTGTCACAGGGAGAAAATAAGCAACCGCTGGCAGCCACGTATTGATTTACTGATTGATTTATGACAGAGTGTGTTATGAGCTTGCTGCTGCCAAGGGACCAATCTCACCCCCAGACATGCCAAACCTAAACTCTGACGGCCCGTCCACACGGCGGCGTGCGTTGAAGCTTCAACACTTCTGCCCATTCACTTTGAATGGGGGAACGTCACACTTTGCAGAACTGCATTGTGGGAGCATTGTGGGAGCGTCGCTTCGCTTTGCTCGCTTCAAAAGTTGAGCAATGTTCAACTTTTGAAGCTTCGACGGAAGCGTCAGCCAATCAAATCATATGCCAGTACAAGCTCTAGCCAATCAAACCGCGTGCTTGTGTGTCCGGGGCGAGAGATTCATGTGATTGGTTGTTGGTCGAGCTTCAGACACGCCCGCCGGCAAGCTTCAACGCACGCCGCCGTGTGGACGCTGCTTGAGGGTGCACAGCTTGCAGTCTTTTCAGGTAGCTCCCATCACACCAACTACTAATCCATCATGCTTCACATGTTGTAAGTGTGTTGACACCTGAGAGCTGCCTGATCCGCAGCAACAGGTACTGTAACGCTCACATGAAGTCTGAGGCAGGCGCAGACTCCAGTATTTTATCCTCTCTGCACATTCCCCACGCCTGAACTGACGTGTTCCCCAGTTACTGGAAACGACTCATCAGCAATCAGCCACAGGACTCAGATGTCTTCTTATGCAAGATACCTCACAACTCAGATAGGCAAATGGTTCATCTTAGATATAACAGATGCCAAGTTAAGTGCGCCTCTGTGAAAGATGGAGCAGTCGAATAGGCCTGTGTGTGCTCTGCAAAGTTGGCATCCGACTGTGTATTCAGCAATGTCTACCAAAGAGTCGATTAGCCATAACAATTCATTCATTTTGAAAAACAATTCTCTGCATGGAAGCAGTTGATAATGGCTTGTACACCCCTGACAACTCTGCCGCTCCAGTCACCGCAGGGGGAAATTCCAACAAGTAAAAGCACCAACTCAAACCTTGATACACAATAGAGGGGAGCAAGTGGGGAATATCAAGCACCTGATACTCCTTAGCAAGTAGCTAGACAATTCAAAAGTCTAAAAATAATACTTAATAACACTTCACCACATAACAATACAACTCAGTGAATCCAGATGGAGCGT